ACCATCTTATGCACTGTTTTTACAGCAGACTGGAGATGACTTTAAGCATCTTCCGGATGGAACGCTATTGTTCTACTTCGATAACCTTGTAGCCAGTCTTTCATTGAAAGCAGGATTAGTGCTCTCATTATCGAGCTGCACTCGCGACGGTCTTGATGTTAAAACTTATCTACATACATTGAGACACAGACATACACGCACTGGAACCAACGCCTGGTCACTGTCCATACACGTGTTTCAAGAGAGGTTCAGTCTTTCGCCAAACTTTTCCAGTGATAACTGACAGTGATATGGTTTATGTTTCCACCGTTGAGTTGAGGTTGGCAGATGCTACGTCGGACTTTGTCTGTCTTTATGTATGGTGTTCGCGATGGCAAGAAATCCATGGTCGCCTGAGCAAAGTTGTAGCTGGTGCTTACTGTTATTTGTTCATCCAACCACCATTTGACTTGACCTACCTACTTGCTCATTGAAATCACGTGCTACGACAACTACATCTGATCATTTGGCTTTCAGTACAAGGCTTGATAGTTTCCGGTAGACTTTGTTCGAACTACCTCCGGTGGGTGAGTAAGCAGAAATTACAGAGACAAAGGCGAGTTTCACTATCCTTTTTAGTCCTCACTGTACCGTTCGGTCGAATAGCACACAGGTGATTGTCTGTGGTGATCCAGTCAAACAGTGTACTTTCTGCCCTGTCACCTAATGCCTACGTGCAAGACTATGAGAACTAACTATTTAATTTCCAGAAACACAAAGGTTAAATTTTGCAGATTCACCATATTGGTTGAATGAGGTTGCGTGAATAACTGCACTTGAGTTATTTATGCGTGTCTCACAGACACAACTTACATCCATGACCAGAGTTTTGGCTAGCGAAGGTTATTGGCTGATTTGACGGAGGTTTTGGACACTGGAAGATCCAATGTTTTGTTTGAAGCGTAGTTTCAGGAAACTTATGATGTTCTGTTCGCTCAAATTGCTATCGAGGGCAACAGGGTTGGAAGAAGCTAACTACTATGTAAGAATTTATACCGAGGGATGTTAAAAAATTAGAAGGTAAGAATGTCGAGGGTTGATAATAATCTGAGGGAACTTGGACGCTAACAGGACTGTGAGGGTGGTTGAAAATTACCAGCTGCCTACACTGCGGAAGACTAGTGTTTTTGAGATACCTGAAAACGAATTGTTAGTGATAGTAGTGCGTGACCAAATAGCCCATGGGATATCCTGTAGAGGTCAGTCACATACGACCTTTTTAGGCGTTTGATGGGGTTTTTTTTATTGAATCCAACTGTGAACTCATAACACTGGCCCCGGTAGGCACGATGGTAGAGGTGAGTGTGCTCTTTTTCGGGCGAACACTTCGCCCTCCTACTCCCATCAATTTACTCTGTGACGGTAACTGCTTTTGTCTTACCACCATCCATCCATCTGACCTTTCTGATACGATAAGACCTCAAACAAACAAGCATCCCACAAACATAGCTCACTGGAATATGCAAACCTGACCACCACATCAAGGTAACAGCTGTCAGTCAACAGTAAATGGTCGTCATAAGAGCCTCGGTATCTATTCGTACTGAATGCATCTGATGCGATGCTCACTTACAAAATATTAGATATTGAAAATGTACTACTTGTTATTACCAAGTAGTCAGAATTTCAATGACTTATTTTCAGATCCCAGTTCTATTAAAAGCCAATACACAAGTTCATGTGTTGTCTATGCCTCTGTGATCATGACCATCCGGCATTCGTTACCATGGTACAGTATGAAAATTATTTGGTGTACCTCCAAGTTATATCATAGATGTGACTATGATTGTCACTGGATAAATACTGGGCCAAAATTTTACTCCATTCTGTCTTATCCAACACTAAACTTATATTTATGGCTTCGTATTTATCTTCATAAAGTCGGTTTTCTGATAGCTATCCTAGATGACAAATAGGTATTTAGACTAATTTAATTTTTTTCATCCTTCAATTTCATGTTGGTTGTTTTAAAGGCGATCATTAATTAGTTTATCTGTACGATGTTCTGTTATGATTTCCAATATCTTTTGTTTAGTTTTTAATGGTGTTTCGATTTCAGTAGACTATCTGTTCATGTGAATAAAGATGTTTTTTAAAAGCATTGTGTTCCTGTAATATTCAATTTTGTCATGTATCTTAACTTGTAGGGTAGGCTCTCAATATTTTTTTGCGGAAAGTCGCGAAGTCGTTTCAAGTTGTAATTATTGTCAATCAGTATTGGTCAGTAAATGTTTTCGTGAATATAATTGAGACAACCGTGTGACATTTGAGATGTGGTTCACCTTCTGTTAAATGCCTGTTATCCATTAAGGTTTAGTTTAAACGTAGGAATATTTTTCGGCGGAAATCCAATCTAAATAAAGCACGTGTTCTTCATTCTCTGCATTTTTTAAAGACTGAAGCAGTTTGATTAAATACATTTTTTATTTGGTTTCGACAACCTTAACTGCTGTTTTACTGCAGGAGGTTATGCTTTGTTGTGACTGTTTGTGTAATAGTAGTAGTTTCCAGCTAGTCTTTTACTCGTGTCGAGAATTATTCACTCACACTCCCAGTATAAGTTAGGTTGAGTTCCACATGTAGCACTATCCATGAATCACTGTTTGATTAATGTATCAATAAATTATTACTATTTATTCTTTAGTAGACATCTCCCTTATTTAGTATTGGTAAGCATATGTGCGTTCCTATAATGATATTGAAATGATCTGTTGCGTGAAGTCTTGATGTTTCTTGATTTAGGGTGAGTTGAATTCCAACACGACCTTACTCAAAGATGAAAATGGTTATATAAATCCTTAGTTATGCAACAGAACGATGTTCAAAGCAGTCGCTACTTTAAAAGTTACTTTCAGGCCTTTTGGTTAACCCATACATTAAATTTTTGCTTTTCATATAAATCATTGTTAGCCTAAGAATGAATCACAGAAAGATAATTAGTTCATCTAAAGAAGTTTTCAGTTCAGAAGTGAACCAACACATCTGTTGGTGTAACATGTAAACAAAATCAAATTAAGTCTCTTATTAACGATCTAATAAGTAAGCAAAATTCATTGATATAAAAAGGAACCTGTTTCCGAATGAACGAAGTACGTACTTATTTTGGGTTACCGTTTAGATGACAAACTGTTTTAAAAAGTTGTATGCTATTGCAGGCTGGTGTAAAGGTGTACTGTCACATAGATGTGAAAAGTTTTATAGTGCTATCGAACATTACATTTTACTTGTTCAATTCAATTGAATAATTGAACAATTCAATATGACTATCCTGTGCCCTATTTTATTTCTGGACTATATAAATCAATTATCAAGGTTGATGAACCGGAATGCACACTAGCGATATGCAGTATAGTAGTATCGTGCTGGTTGACTAGGAAATTATCAAAACCTGGTTGTTTGAGTGTATATTATCATAAAGCTTGAGTCTTTTATTGACCAGTCAAGTTCATGAAATTAAGTTTTTAACGGAATTATCATTTTTCGGAAACGATGCGTTTTCGGTCCATTCCTCTATCAAAATTCCAGATATCCGTCATAATGGAGTTAAATACAGATGAATTAAGTTATGTAGTAAAACTCAGATTTTAATCTCCTTTCCTGATTCAATCTCCCTGAAGTAATTAGTGGTAGGATTTGTATCCAATGAAGTGTAATTTTATTGGAGACATTTACCAGATGACACTTTAGGGTCTTAATATATTTGCTATTTCTCAGTGTTTCGAATAGCTGAACCAGAATCCTTGTTAAAATTCCTCAAATTATATTACTTTTGTAGCTCAGGTGTAATATGCATCACGGCGGCCAGCTTGAACCTCGGGCTACTAAAATTTTCGACCGAACACATATATATCATACTTCTTCCTTTCTGTTTGTTTTAATCATCCAAATTTGTGTCCTCTCAACGTATCATGTACTCTTGCACATTTTAAAAACGTTTTCAACTCTCTGTTTCTCGACGTAATTACAAAACAGAAAAAAAATGTCACGTTGTACAGAAGTGGACTTTCCAGTGCCTAAAAGTGCAAGATATTTCTGTTCCCCGGATACTTAGCTTGAGATACAGATTAGTGCACTGACTGAATGAACCGATACCAACTTACTTACGCTCTCGTTTCTGTTGATCCTTGATTATGGACCGCCCGGACGCTAATCTAAAACCAGCTGACTGTTTCACGTTATTGCGTTGAATACTGTTATTAACATCATTTAGATACAATAACCATTCCGTCGAAAAATATTGTTCTGGGAGTGACTTTGTTGAAAAATTACATGCTGAGAATACCATATTGTACCACACACATTGTTTGGAATAAAGCGATTATTATTTATTATTTATTATTATTATTATTATTATTATTATTATTATTGCATACATGATGTAACCTGTTTTCCGTTTGGTGAATTCATCCTCTAAATTATGTTATTCTGTTTTTTCCTTGGGTTTATTGTAACTTTATTTCCCCAAGAGTCGTTTATTGTCTTTGATATGATTTTGAGCAACAGTTTGTTGTCTTCAGATTGGTATTCCTCATTGACTGACATAAGTTGGAAAAACAGTGGAAACCTGCGAGCACTGGACAGCTGTCTCGTCGTAGTATGGGTGACCATAGTGTGTTTGGTTGCTCCAAAAGTTTATAGGTTCCCAAATAGGACGAAGTGCCCACCCTGTATCCTACTGTTAGACACTACCCATCAATAATATAATTAGAACACAGGTAATATCGAGGAATCCGCATAGAAGCCCATATGCCAATAGAGAACGATCAATACGGTCCAATCAACGACGGTTTAATATAAAATCAATTATACTAAGTTCATAGGTTGTTGTTTAATATTATAGAAAGTCTAACCTCAGCTATACTTCATTGCATTGTAATGTTTCTGTGCTCTGATTGGTTCAACTCAGCAATTCACTGAACCCTTCTGTTGTCAGTTGACTGAATTTGAAGATCGGTAGTTTACTCACCCCTGTGCCCATTTCGCAAGTGTTCCAATTGCGTCTCAGCTTACTTAAGTCATAGAGATCGCTGATCTTGGTTTCCACCAACCACCTCTTAGATATGGATTTTTAAAAATCGTTTGCTGTCTGATTGGTGGTTCACAATTACTTTAATTTACGATCCAACCTGATTTTCCCTGCCCCTTTTTCACAAAATCACATAAAAGTAGGCTCAAGTGCTCCATAAATAAATCGTTTATCATAAAACTGTCGATATTTGGATTATTGTCTGAATTGCTTAGTTGGATTATTCTTATTGGTTGAATGTTTCTCTAAATTTTCCACCCCTGCTTCGTTTGTTATCGATCTGTTTGCGTATTGTTATATAGCAACACGTGTCACCTTGACAACGCCTATTGCATTTAGACTGAACTAGTTGTCCACTTAGTTTAGACTTGTTCAGCTTATCGTTCATTTCTGAGAACTAACAAAAGCCGTAATTGTGAAAAAATTATCTTTTCTCATGGATGTGGATTATCCAGAAACATCATTCACGGTAAGCAAACTTATTGAAGTGAATTGTTTTTCACAATATGGTTATTCGCAAACATTCTAATGGTTATGTGTTCCATTTTACCAAAGTTTTTCTTTTCCACTTGTATTGTTGCCCTGACTATACTGGTTTTAATTGTCCATCTGTTTTTAGGATACCGTTGTATATTTTGTTAAAGATGGCAGTCGGTCGTGATTAATACTTTGGGTTAGGTTAAAGTACCTTAAACTTGATTAAAGTAAAATCAAACTGCTCTCGTATGAACTGTACACGTTATTTTACAGCAGTGGTAAGGTGAATGTATTTCGTATAAAGTTTACTCTGCTTTCCGAAACATATTATTGCAGACTGAAGTAAACAAGTAAGAATATCTTTTAGAATAAGCCAAGATAATTGCCATTCAGTTATGGAGCTAGAATATCTCCTCTAGCCTTATTCATCTTGCCTAACTCATTTTAAGCAAGCAGGGAAATAAAAACTAATTAGCTGATTTATACATTTCTGCCGTGTGTTACACAAAGCATGGACTTACTTCCGTAGAATAAGCTAGCATACAACAACTGCAGGTTGATACCTCTGAGATCCCTCCTGCTTCTCTGGTTAACGGAATTTAAGATCATGACTTCAAGCGGTTGAACATCATCTAGACATGCGTTTAGTGGTGAATGTACCACGACATATATTTATCATTCAATGTAATCGATTTAGAAATGGTATTTTGTTATTTTTTCATTCGATTCACTTTCGTGATAGTGTGCTTAGGGGTTTTAAAATAAGATTTATTGTACATCTATTACCATGTTATCACTTATTCAACTAAATATTGAAGCATTTTCAATAAAATAGCCTTTACATTAAATTGCGTTCTAGTTTATATGCTTGTTTACGTAATGGATCCTATAGTTATATGAAAGACTTATCCGAGAATACTTTTTTTGAAATGTATAGTCAGTAAAACAGATATATAATATATTCTTCTGTTGGAAATCACCTTAGATTCTAGTCCAATTAATAGAACTTTTCATTTACCACAAATACTGATCATTACTTTATCCGAACTGACATTACTGATATTCCGTATTATTTGTTTTGTAGGACTTTCAAGTTTTTGAACTACTTGGTCGAGGAGGATTTGCCCAGGTATATCGGGCGAAGTCCATCATTACTGGACAAGAAGTTGCTATTAAAATGGTATGCTACACTGATAATTCTCTGATAATTCTTATTTTATATAAAGTTTTATTATTTGTACTCATTGACGTTTGGAATTCAGCAGGTTATTGACTTAAGAAAATACACTCACAACTGAATACAAATTCTTATTTAGATGAGTACTCGGTTTCCTGACCTACTTCACATAGCATTTGTACGTGGTAATTTACGGTCAGCAATAACATTAAAAGTATCAGCGTCACATACTTCAGCATTCATGTTTCAATAGCAAGGGGTGTATGTTCAGGATTATGATAATGTATTTCATATCAAGGTTGATGTTTACCTGGATTACTGGTCATAGTGTTTTGGTCAGTTTAACCTTTAACACCGCTTTTCTGGTACTACTTTATTACTTCATCAAAACATACATAATATGATATAATAATATAATATACATAATAGAAGTCTTGGTTTTTTGCTCAGACGGAATGAACATGATGAACGCTACCAGCAGGCAACTTAGACTGTTGTAAGCTGTGGAAATCATTAAAGATATTACCCGTTAATGAATGCTGTTTATCTGTTTCTGTAAATGTTAATTATCTTTCGTGACAACTTTTTGTAATCAGTCATATCCAAAGTATTTACGACCAAATAAGACGCAGTCGAATTGACTTTTAAGTAGGACAATTAGAATCGTATGCTTTATGATTGAAAATCCATAATTACCTGTAATTGGAGACTATTGATGTGAATATATTTTTAGTAAGAAAAAATTATTCGAATATGCATACTTTTATATCATCTACGATTACATTTTATTTTTCTTTGTATAGATCGATAAGAAGGGTATGCTCCATCATGGATTAGCCAATCGTGTACGTCGTGAAGTAGAAATCCATAGTCGTCTGAAGCATCCTTCCATCTTAGAAGTAAATAAAATCATGTATTGTATCATTTTAATATTTATCAGTTGTGCTTTTGATATACTATTTTTTCTAACAGTAAGGAAAAAACAAACACAATCCAACCATCCATTAACTTAGATAATGAGACGCTTTCAAATGAATCTTTTGCATGTGTGCAAAAATGTTTTACGTGTTGTATAAGTTATACATGTTTATAAAGTTATATAGAGTAGGAAGTGTTGTGATTTCACAACACTATATCATTCATTTGTAAAAACGACCGGCCATTCTGTTTTATTTGACCCTTCATATTTCAAGATATATACAGCCTTAGTGTAAACTTTTGTTTTTTAAAATTGTATTCGACAGCTGTACACATGTTTTGAAGATGCAAATTACGTCTACTTAGTTTTGGAAATATGTCATAATGGAGAATTACAAACATATATACGTCAAAACGGACCTGTTACAGAAGATACTGGTGAGTTCGATTTGTATTTACTTATTGTAAGGTAGTAGATTTTACTCGTTTTTTCCATGAGTAATTTACAACATGAATGTAATCAATACCAGACTTGTATGTCATTAATTAAAACAATATTTCATGCACTATGGTATTAGAACCAACCTTCTGTAAACAAATAGTGATAATAATGATTTTATTTTGTAAACGGGGTTCGTTCCAAACATGAATATGATTATATGGCCATGTAGAGAAGTTAAACGGTGGCTTCACGATCGTTGTAATTCACTTTTATCCCTCCAAATCATACCACAGTAGTGCAACAGTTTTTAACGTAACGTGAATCTCGTTCCGTATGCAGTGGACGAAAATTTATGTAATGCAACTCACTACCAACTCAGTTGTCATATTAGTTTGCTACTAGTTGAATCATCATCGATTGAGATAGTCGAGGCATGTGTTACGTATGCCTAGTCGTCGTCTTCCTCGTCACACAATATTGGCCGAAGTAGGTTCAGGTTGGAAAAAGGCTCGAGGCGGCCAGACTAAAACACAGCATCAATGTATGAAGTCTTTGACTGTTGGTTTGAGACTTTTGGGGCGATGCAGACTAGGTGGTTGGGGTCCGCAGGACAAGAGGAACCAGTGGTTGGAGACTTTAGGTGATATGGCTCAGAACCGATGTCAGTGACTCTGATGTATACACAAATTATCCTCATCTTAATCCCATACCGAATCTCACCATTTTCTCACTCTTTCTTTCTCTCTTTTAGTACTTTATATTTCTTTTGGCTGAGTTTTCTTTTCTTCATCTTCCACTTCACAGTCTCTTTACTTGATGTACTGATATGAGGTATCGCAACTCCTACCGTTACGTAGTAATGCCTGGTCCTATTTTGATTTGGATGGATAGGTGGATGGAGTTGAGTCACCGATTAGACAATTCTAAGGAGGCTGTAGGCTCGAATTTCATCCTGTTTAATTTTTTTCAGTTAATCAAATAGTATAATGTCTTTTGAAGTGTAGCTTACATAATTGCATGGTTATACTATTTTGCCAAAAAAAGTCAATGTTAAATTTTTGGCTTTTGCATAAAGGAGTATGACTACACCTACAGTGATACTTGGGTTTTACTGTCTTGTATAATCTTATCGACAAAAATCCCAATATTATTTATATTGGTATTTACTCAAGTTTGTTGACCTAATATCTGTTGGGTGGAAAGGCTCTTTGCTGTTAGTACTTTCCGGTAAAGGGATGAATAAAAAATTACTGCCATCATCTGCGACAGGTTCAAAAGATCTCAGAGAACAGAAGTAACTGGAGACGTGCTGCTGAAGCCTTATGTTCCACTAGGAACCCAAGGGACTAATAATAATAATAATCCGCGACACATATCTTTTAGATTAATCTGTTTGTATTGTCTTACATGCGTTAGCTTTTTGACATGTAGGATTTTTGTTGTATACAACTGCATACTTATTTTCCTGTTTTTTTCAAATAAATTTTTTATTTGTTTAGCTCGACATTATCTGAAACAATTGATCAGTGGTCTCGTCTATTTACATTCACACAATATAATTCACAGGGACTTGACTCTGGCAAATCTGTTGCTGACTAAAGACATGAAAGTTGTAAGTTATACTACATTCTTATTTACTTAACCTAACAGATATTCATATTTGTGGCCATAGTGATGATTTTGAAGTAGATAAGGCCGTGCCCATTGATTGATTGACTGACTGACTTCATTTCACGTCCCCTTACTATGTTTACGTATTACATCGCTAGATGTGTCAGGAAAATTGTTCCAACCGACCGTTCTTATTTTCCACAGAATTATCAGTAATTATAAAGCAACATATTTTACAATATTCTTAGAATGAATTTTATCGATGATTTCTTCAAAGGAATTTACAACTCATTTGCTTACCTCATTCAAAGATAATTGCAAGGGTACAAAAAACTAATCAAATTGTGACTTATTTATTGTGCTAGGAAAAAACTTCCATATTAGTTTTCGATATTGCGCATGAGAATCTTGCCATGAATTGTCTAATATTTCTTGTTGTCTATATAAGTGTCACAGTTCTACAGATATTACACCATACTTATTAAATGGGATTCCCAATACAGTCAGCTGTTGTGTTTTGTGCTTACAAACTGTATGCCCTTATCAACTTAATCGAAGTATGTAGTTTTAATATACCTTTCATTACGAGTCAACTGCAGTAGATAGTAACGACATTTGAAGTTAAGGTTATCAGTTTCATTTTCACTGGCGGAATGCATCTACGACTCCTTTCAAACCAAGTCCATGGTCTATCAGGCTCTTAAGTTAGTCTTTGAGTGATCGACAGTTAGTTAGTTGATAATTAAGTTAGTGGAGCAGTTAGCGCGTATTTTGAGCTCTTAAACACATCATAAGACCACTACCCCCTAAAGAAATAGCGTATAGATTAGCTTCTTAAAGTTGAAGCAATTATTCTTGTTTCATGTCTTTCCTTCAAAACAGTGTGACATTTATTATTGTATTTTGTTAAAGCTTTTTGTTTTCTACTCAGTCTATAATTCATTAGTTTAGTTTCATTTTGCTTTTGTTTTCTCTTGTTTATTGGAATACTACAGAAAATTGCGGATTTTGGATTAGCCACTAAAATTGAACCAGGTGAAGATCATAAGACAATGTGTGGGACGCCAAATTACATCTCTCCGTAAGTAAATTTGTTTTGGAAGTGTTCATTTAACCTGCACAAAAGTGAATGTAATATTTAGCTTTCCCGTTAAAAAGTATTCATCAATAATTTTATTTTAAAGATCTTATATGTTATGTATCATTTTTAATTCTTCTCTGTTTTCTTCCTAAAGGGAAGTTGCAAGTCACAACCAACAAGGTTTAGAAACTGATGTATGGTCATTAGGTTGTATGTTCTATACACTAATTGTTGGCCGTCCACCATTTGATACGAGAGAAGTTCGTTCTACTTTAAATCGTGTCTTGGCTGTAGACTACGAATTGCCACCAAGTATTTCTACTGAAGCAGCTGATTTGATTAATTCTTTACTCCGGCGTGAACCTCAAGAGCGTATCAAATTGAAAGCAATTATGCAACACCCGTTTATAGTTAAAAAATCCCAACCTCAACGCTATATGGTAAGAATTTTCACACTTCTGTAAATCAATTCATGTCTCACCCTGATTTCCGTATTTCAATGTGATTTTGAAAACATGCATATTCAGTCGTATACTAGTTAGTTCCATAAATCAACCAATATTTCAGAACAGTTTTTAAAGAAATAGTCATAATATGAAGTAACTGATAGTTACGTTACTCTTGTCTACACTGGTTGTGTATCCACACTTTTATATAAACTCTTAGTGTTAGGTCTCTTATGTTCTGTTTATCTTAGACTTTTAGCTATTGGAATTTATAAACATTCTATTCTGTTTCCCAGAAAGTCTATAATCTCTTCTAACATAGGAATAATATCTTATATCCTTTAATAATTCCTAAATTATAAAAGAGAGTCAACTGGGCCATGGCTCATTTCTTCATTTTAGTCCCAGTCATCACCCCGTATCAATAATTTCGAAGTTGTTGATTGAGAGCGTTAGCTCTTGATTACTAGCCATATTACAGTCACTGATTCCAAGACTAAACGCTTTGTTTTGATGTTGCACGAATAATCTTCAGACAGTAAAATTCACTTTATGCTTAGTCGTCTGTTTTAGATAGATATCTATTTTTCTTTTCTATCTGAAGGATTTCTGTACTCCCTTCTTTTTTGCATCACTGTCTTTTTTTCCTGATAATCTTCAATCTCTCAAGTGTTCATATTCATTCAATCTCGGAGGTATAGCCTAATTATTACTATTGTCAACCAGTTTATTATACCCGTAAAAAATTAAGGTTTTAGTCATGTTTTGCTTATGTTCACCAGATCATTTTTTCTACTGTCTGTTATAATCCTCATAAACGACTAGTGTTTTAATTATTATTTTTTCCGTAGGAAACATCAAATGACAGTGGGATTGATTCTATTTCTCGCACCCCTTTGGGATGTCTAACTAATAATCTTAAATGCCATCAACCCATAAAAGTTGAATCCAATGGATTTACACTCCGTCCTTGTGTCGCTCCACTTTCTACAGCCATTTCAGATACTCAATATGATACACGGACACCTTATTGCCGAGATCCTTCACAGCGCTTACCTCTCCCCACTAGTAGTTGTGATGCTGTGATCAATGCTTATCCAAATATACCACGTTCCACAAGACAACTTAATAATCGCCCAAATACTCAACAAACACGTTATTCAGACGGTGTTTTTGAACAATCCCGGTTGGTTATTTCACCAATATCAGATCCAGATAATGATAAAGTACTACTAAGTCATCGTGGTCAACCTATCACTTCAACTGTTAACCGGGGTCAAACCAATTTATCTAGTTTTTCATTTTCTTCAATTTCACGTCCAACTGTTACTGAACCTGTAACAACACAACGTTCTGATTTTCTGAATGCCACCACCAGCGTACCTAAAACCAAAGTACCATCTGGAAGTACTGGAAAACAATTTAATAATCGTCCTTTACCACTAGATAGCCGTCGTTTGAGACCTATGAGGACTTTCACACGTCTAGCTGTGGTCAATATCTTACAAGATGAATCTATTTGTCTTGAGTTTTTCGGAGGTTCTGCTAAAACTCGACAAAACGTAACTCCGACAGTGATGAATAGTCAAAATTACCGAGTTGTCGAAGTGATAGGTATAAACAGTACTGGACAATGCATTCTAATCTACCAACCGAATATGGGAAAGGGAGTGCCACTGAATACCAAAGGGCTCAGTGATTCTTCTCAGGTAGCGGGAGCTGACTGTGAAACCACAGATGTTGGCGGTCCTCCTCCCGCATGCCCAGGCGATCCGCTTGCATTCTACACTTTGGATACATTGCCCCAGAGATACTGGAAGAAATATCAGTTTGTTTCAAAGTAAGTTCACTTTTTGTAATAGTTATATACAATTTAGTATATATAGCTGGAATACCTACTAAAGTTCTTGTAATTGAAGTATGCATTTTATAATATACGATACATAAGTTAGACTAACTATTTATTTGCCTGGGCTGCGTTTTATCGGAATTCGATTCTATCATAATGACACCCGAATAATGAACCGAATTTCGGTTTGTTTAGAGCTACCAAGGTTCCTACCCAACTTTTAGTTTCATTGTGATTTGAATCGTCTTCATTCTACCTTTATTCGTTCATATTATATTTGCTTAAGGATCTGGTCGAACAAATTAAACAAAATAATCTAATCTATCAAATTCCATGCACTGAGTGTGAAGTCAAGTACGTAGATCAAACTAGCTGATCAGAGTCAGTTGGATTATCAGATCATAGAAATTTAGTAAAACATAGGATGACAAACCCCAACAGGATCAATAATCCAGAAGATTCGATTGTTGCAATACATGCATTAGCACATAACCACAAAGTAGGGTAGGATAAAACCACTGTACTTAAGTCCAATATGGTTGAGTGGAGAGATTGATCACTGAACCTTTGTTCATCGAATCAACACCAAACACTTGTAATAGGAATGATGCAACATCTTTACCTGAGTTATTGAAAATTTTACTACCAGTAAAAATAAAGAATATGAGGTAACAGGACTATAAAAATTGGTTGTTGAAAGTGTGGTGTGATTACATTGATATGATTGTGAGTAATAATTTATGCTGGAAACGTCATCAAGTAAATAATACTGTATCAGTGTGTGCTGTATATCAAATAAACAAATCTAATATGGAATTAAATTCTACCACAGTGCTTGAGTTTTACATTTATATCAATGATATCCTGTTGACTCTTACCTTTATAGTTTCACGTGAAATTACTGTGTTTTTATGTAAAGAGTTCATTGATAGCTTGTTACTGTGTTCTAAATCCTCCTACTCTATTATTGCATTGTATAGTCAGGTTCAGTGTTTTCTAACAATGATTATGTTATTTTGATTCACTGATACTTTTGCCTCGATTTTTGCGTATGTGTTTTAGAATTAGTGTTTAGGATCCTTGGAAAACCTGAGATGATTTTCATCGAATTTTTTGCTGATTTGGTTGTATATGTTGCTTATCAAACTGTTGTTTCATTACAATCTGCTTTTAGATTTGTCCAAATGGTTCGTGCTCATACTCCTAAAGTGACATTTTACACTGATAAAGCCAAATGTATGCTTATGGAAAATGGTCCACCGGGAGATTTTGTTACTGAATTCCATAATAATGGTACACGTGTCCTATGTGCTTCTGATGGATCAATACGCATTACTCAGACAATAGATCAGGATGCGTCAGAAAAAATAAGGGACAGTACACCGACAACAATCACACTTGATTCGAATCGAAGTCTTTCAACTCTTTCTCCAGAAACAAGGAAACTTTTAGACTATACATATGCAGTAAGTTAATTTATTATAGTTAGTCTTTCATATCGTTTTTTTCAATACTTTGAGCAACCACTAATACATAGATTTTATACATTGATTGTTTACTGGAGACATCAGTTCCCTTTAGTTTGCAGATATACCCACCCTACTGATTATTAGGGCCGACAAACAGAATTCCTAGATCTAGGACTTTGTTTCGATTATCTTCAGTCAACTTAAATCCAACATAGATTTTTAACTAACTGGTCTCAAGATAAATTTTTTTTAAACACTGAAATGAGGATTAATGTCTGTTGATGAAATTTAGGGCATGGTTTCCGCGAATCATGTGTGAATTGTATGAAGTGCTGAGCACGAAAATTGTAACCTCATGACTGTATTGTAGAACAATCAACATATATAAAAAAGCAGGTTTTAATGAATTTACAGATTTCGGTAGAACTCATCAAATGCACACTGTATATATTTGACCATATATATGCCGTAAGGCAACACCGGTAAACAAATATACAAAAATAACGTAGATTGAGACCATCGATCGAGACGTAGAGGCGTAAAAATGAACAAACTGTGCAAACAAGGTCGGGTGGTAATACAAAAAGTTGGACTGGATGTTCAAATTGAGTAGATTGTAATATAATATGATTGCCTTGAGATCTCAAACCAGCAGGCTTTATTTCGTAAGATGAGTACTGACATAGCATTTCAAACTAAGCTGTACGAACTGTCTGGTGCATCTAATTGGTAGTGAGAATGAAACAGATTATCGTTTTAATTGGTTCAGTTTGTGTATATCTTTTTATTTTCTTGAACATCAGATTTGTCTATCGGAATTACCTTCAGAACCGTATCTGTCTGTTATTCCTACTTTTTTATTATTATATATCCTTTAGTAATGTATAGTAGTACTGTTTTAATGATTAACTTTATTTTCATTTTCTTTGTTATTTAGTGCCGGGATCATTGTCAGAAATGTGAACAGCTACTAACCGGATTAATTTCAGAGGACATTCAGGTATCAGAATCATCTTGTTCCTTGTTTCCAGTTATCCTGGGACGACGTCCTAGAGTAGGCATAAGTTCAATCCCTTTATCAAAAATAGATTCAGGAACGATTTCACTGCCAAATGTGATAACTTGCGGATCAGTGGGTCAAATCTCACTGTCCTCTCAACTCTACAATTTAGTATCCGATTGTTTTGAAACTAAGCATAAAACTTCCCTATCAGAAGACCAGAAACACAGTGATTCTCCTCCTACTAACTCAGTATTTGTTCCGAATGTAGGTTGGGCAAATCAGTTCACTGATGACAAACTTCAAGTACAATTTAATGATGGAGCTAAACTCTTATTAATTTATGACCGAACTTTAGTCCATTCCATTCATTTCACTCCACCTCCCGGATCTGACCATCAATCACAAAAAGAAAAGGTGTACAGTACTTCTGATGCTCTTCCGGAACATGTTTATCGAAGGTTAGAAGTGATGCCAACTGTTATCAGACGACTTCGTTCAATCAATAACCAAATGGTTTGTTGAAATTGTAAAAATAAATATCCCCCCTTGTGACTTAGCACTCAATATGGCTGTGAAATTTCTGTTTTATATCTTCTCGGTGTACTGATGTATCTATCTTCCTTCCTAGTATTACTACTTTACGTTCCCATTTATTCTTTTATCCGGTAATTTTAGAAGCTAATTCGTATAGCTTGTCGAAATTTTGGTTTCCTTTCTTCGCGTAAGCCAGTTTCCTCTTCAATTTATTTTTATGTACACTTTTTTAGTTTTCCTACTCTGTCATTTCAAATGTTCGTCGGAAAGCGCCTGTTCTAAAATAATGTTGTAGATCCTAACGACATATATGTAAATAAATTCGGCTCAATGATTACTCTTGATATTCATGACTCATGCCTGTGAACTTCATTTCACCAGTCTGTTTGAGTACGCATGTGTCTTTGTGCATGGATTTAGTCCATCTTTTAATCCTTAAAAATTATTATTCGGTTAACTTTATTATTACTGATTGTTCGATGAGAGGTTATTGTACAAAATGGATTTTATTGTACTCAATTATGCATATTTGAGAATTTTACCAAATGAGCTTTCTAACATAATTTTTAAATTATGGCAAAGTAGGAAATTTTGTGATTGCTTACGCTAATTTCTGATTGCTTTTTGTGTATAAAATTTTTTTTGTTTTTGATTATCATTTTAATAAATAACAGATTGTTATGTTGACATATGAGTTGTTGGAGTATAGGGGGAAATTGGGTTGTGTTCATCTATTACTTACTCATCTTACGTATTCATTTATCTTACAAATTCTGAAAGTGGTAACTTTGGGATTGGAGAAGCTTTTATATATCCAAGTTTTAAATTCATTAAAGTGCTGCCTTCAGAGAACTTGATAAATTTTCACCTACTATTGAGGTAAATGAATTTCAATCTTATCTTTGTTGCAAACTCAAATTCCTCAGTTATCGGAAGTAGACGTTTTTCAGTGGGAGATTTTGCACTAGATATATTTTTACATATCTCTGAACGCAGTCATTTTGATGCTAACATTCTGTGTTACACATAGAAATCATTGTCTACTTGATCTCTGTATGAGTTATGCGATTTATGATTTTATGCAAAGGTGAGTCGGTTTCAATCTACACTTGTCGTACTAACATGGAGAAATAAGTCAGCATAACATTGTTTTCATCGTGGTGATTCTCATTGGAATCTAGGACGCTCTCTTCATCCTATTTGGGACTCGTCAGCTGGATGTATCTGCCTCCCAGTGAGTGATGTTCCCACTGAGACTCGAACATAGTACCCATTGTTTCAAAGGTAAAAGCGTTATCCTCTAGGTCACTGCGTCATAGGACTCCACCTGCCAACAGAGGTCAACTAATTCAACACTGTGTAGCAACGAGAAATTACAAGTATCAAACAAAAACGAGTCAGGATCAGTTGAGAGGTAATGAGTATGAACCAGTAAACCAGTATACAATAATGAAGCGTGTAACAAAATAGATCAAAGATATTTATCTGCGAATATGATAAATCTGGAGATTCGTCGTCCATGGTTTCTAATCAGTACTTTCTAAGAATATCAGGGCGCCCTTAACTGTTAGCATGTACTTTCGCACACATCGTATTTCTTGTAAGTAAACCGAATTAACAAGTGCACAACAAAAGGTGATAGTTATTCACAAGTGATAAAGCCAGACAGTAAACTGAGTAAACTATATAATTTTAAAGGGATTTCAAATAGTTTTCATAAGCTTACGAGCCATATAGATGTCTTATCCACAACGTGAATGTGTTCAAACTTTGGATTTCGAACTAGTCTAAAGGATTATCAGACACCATTTTCGAAATCGCAAATATTTCTCAGCATTAAGATCATGAAATGAGGAAGTGTGATGTAGCTGCATATCTCTTAATGGCTGTGAGATATCGCCGTTGAAATTAGGAGACATGAAGCGATTACAGGGTTTTGATCACAAATGTCTTCATAGCACTGCTTGAGTTTGGTATAATCACAGTGAGCAATGTTGAAGTCAGGTGAAAGGTACTCAGGAAGACAGGCAAGTTGATTGGTGAGGTTGTAAACCTTAGTCAACTGAGATAGCTTGAACAGGTGTTCCTCATACCGAACCACCCTCTACCTTGACGTCCCATGCTAGGGGGAGTTAGATTAGGTTGGAAGCGGGTTCAGGGTGGCCGGACCAAGACGTGTCACCAGTTAGTGAAGCCCCTCACTGTTGGTCTGAGTCGTGTGGGGTGATGTAGACTGCCTGCTTGGAATTCTCTACACGAAACGAATGAGTGGTCGAAGACTCTTGGTGAGATAGCTAAAAATCTGTCACAATGATGCAGATGTATTCAATTCTTGACATCTAAAGCTTGAGTGTTTGCACTAAGTATTATCTGCAGTTTTCTTATTCTCTCAGGTAACTTTGACATCACTGTTTTTCTATCTATCTGTTCTTAATACACTACTGTGAAGTGTGACAACTTGAACCGATACACCTGTATGCGAGGTTCTACGTTGATTTTGTCAGTCAGCATATCTCTTATAATGAAAACCAGATAACAGAAATACCTTGTTATGTATAAGTGGCATATCTACTTAATTTTGGTAAAACTGGTGCAGATATTGGAGCATTTACGCTGGCAATAAGTAAACAACCGGTATAAATGGAAATATTGTGGATTAGAACTGTGATTTCATGTTTTATATTTGCTGTTAAGTCAAATCGTAGTACGGGATCCCATTACTAGGAGACAGTCGCTGTACGTAACTAAAAACTTTGAATTGTTCATATAGGCATTTCCACAAGTTGGTATCAAAAACCAACTAATGATGATATACTGTTTAGCTCCTAAATATGTCCAGTAATCGTCCCATCATCGTGTAAAGGTGATGAAATCTTGTCATAAGGAGGAGAATCCATCAACTTACCCTTAGGAAGGAGATATAGATGTATGGACATTGTTGTGAATTGTATGAGAAAAAAAAGTTCTCTTCATGAAACTTTTTTGGTGATTGTATGCAGGTATGAAATAAATCAAGAGTACATTGTGACCAGTAAATCTGATGTTTTACTAATTGTTTATGTATAATTTGAATGACTATTGTTTATGACTTAATAGCAATAAAAAAATTCAATAAAAGATTAGTTTTATTTAGATATTTCAAATGAAAAGTAAGGTAAAGTTAGGTCGATTGGAAAATCTCTACTTAAATATGAATGACAAGAGGTGTTTATGAACTATGAAAAATGGAGTTCCATCTCCTTCTTTGTTATATTCTCTTTAATTTAATCTATTGCTTATCTTCATTTCAATTCTTAAATATTATTTTTTGTGCTCAAAGAACGTGACTTATTTATATCATAACCCTTATTTTATGTTTTCTAATTCAGGACATATAAGATAAAATGTACGCCTAAGAATTATCTTTTGAAGAATTCCGTGAAAGGGGAGACAATATTTGTTAAAAATTTAAGAAACTCGATAAATATCTCACATTTTTTCCAAGGTCTAGTTGATGGCAATCATTTTCAATTTCGAATCAATTTGCATTCACCAGTACTGTCTTTTTTCATTGTCCATTTAGGTTGAATTTTAGTAGAAATTATAATTTCACTCTTGAAATGTGATGTGCTCAGATTATTGTCTATAATTATGATTTTCGATCTGATAATTATTTTGTACCATGATACCGCCCACATCATTCATCACTGAAACAGTTTCAAGATGGGTAATTATTTTTTCAATGATACAACTTGCTGGTTGATGTGTGTTATTGATTAATGAGCATCCATTGAAGCAAGTAAATGTAACCACCTTATTTCACAACACGCAGATAACCAACCATCATTGTTGTCTATTCGTTGCTCAAAAGTATTTGTTTATATTACCCTGAATTTTCAACAGAAAAGTTAAATAGAATTATATACACATAATTAGTAAATAAAAATCGCATTAATTCAATTTGGAGGTTTGTGGGGATTTACTGATTAATTTCAGGTTGGTTATAACCATGAACTGACATCAGTTGGAGAAACACTGGAAACCTGGGGGACTGGACAGCGGTTTCGTCTCAGCATGAGACTCTTCAGCACTACGAGCCCGTGGTCACGCAACCCTAAGGTCCTGGGTTCGATCCCTGGCAGGGTCATAGGTGCGTACTGCTCAGGAGTCCCATCCTACGACGAAGTACTTGTCCAATTCTCCCAGGTTTTTAATGTTTCTCCAACTGACTTCAGCTCTTGATGAATACCAACGAAAAATCGCACTAAATTATTATTTCAGATTGCGTCAGCCACTTTAATGCATACATTTTCATACAGTTGACCAATTTATAAAACAATGAGTAGCTACCTCCTTGACCCGATGGGCAAACATTGCTTGCTTCGTAAAACTATTCAAGAGCATAAAAATAGAAACATTTCTGGGACACTATTTCATGCGATTCTGTTTTGAGAACGGCGATTCCATAGGTAACTAATGCAAAGTAATTAATAGTATTCTAAGCAACCTTCAAAAAAGCCATATTTCACGATTTACTGAAAGTGGACGTTAGTCAAGTGTTTCTGTCCAGAGAATAATACCTTTATCTACTATTCATTCTTATTTTTGAAAAACGTGAACTACAAAAAGTGAGTTAGCAAACTGCTGAATGCCAATAGTAAAATTGGTATAAGAACTTTAAAAAGGTTGCAAAATATGAAATTCTAGATTTTCTGTATATTAATTGAACCACTCAAATATTCTATCGACCTCATAGTCACAATTGGTCATATGGAGCAACTTGTACATGGTGTAGCTAATACAAGGACAGTAAATACTCAGGCAATAACACGGGATTCTCATAAGAGTCCATCTACCAACAGAGGTCGACCAATGCGACGAAGTATAACAACGGAGAATTACAAGTATCAACAAATAATAACTCGTACCCGTTGTGCAAAAGGTGAGTGTCGTGCCTTACTAACCTGGTGGATAACGCTTAGGCATTTGAAGCGATGGCTACGAGGTCTGAGTCTCAGTGGCGTGAACGTACACGAAGCTGACGAGTCCGAAAGAGGACGAACCGCGCGTCCTGGATTCTAACCAATTCACTTATAGCAATACAACCAGACATTCGATTATTCAGAATTTTTCTACCCTCTGAATATGTTGTACCTTAACAGAAAATATACCAAACCTGGAAGTGCTTTTTTACTGGACTTCATAGTGTTTTGATTCACTCAGATTCACCATTCAGGCTTTGGTAGTAGTACTGCTATTTTTTTCTAGATGTTAATTCATAGTTATCTATGCATTCTTCATCTAATCATCCCTTATGAACTCGAAAGGATTGAAACACTATAATATTTGTCAGTAGTCTCCGTTTGTGAGTTAACTGATCCCAATTGTGTGGATGTGAAGAATAAGCTTTATTGAGAACTGTCAGTTGTATTATATATCCTTAAATTTATTGATGCAGTTGTGTCATGTAGCTCAACAATATATTTGGGAAAAAACTAAATATGATGCACTGGTGTGTCTTCTTTGAAATCGTATGGAGATAGCCGACAGTTATAAGTAGTTTCTAAATTTTGATCTTTGGAAACTACCTGTATTTGCCGATGCTGTTTTGAACTAAAAAGTGTGAGATATTCTAAGTTGGTGAATAACACCATTAAGACTACAATATGACAAACTAAATCTCTAACGAATATTATTGCTCAGATTC